AGGTGTGCACTTACAAAACATTTACTCAGTGTTCCACTAGACAATTTAGTATTTTCTAGCTCTCAGCTTTGGATCTAACATCTCCATTTCTATCTGTGTTGAATTTTGTCTTTAAACTAAAAGCCATAAACTTCAACTAATCAAGTTACTCACTTTTTTTTTGTGGTAAAGATTTTAGTCTCAATCTTCTTGAATGTTGTTTCATTTAAGTAGATAATAAAGGAATAACAGCACAAATGAAGGGTTAGTTAACCTGTTCAGAACTTGCATACATCACATCAACTCACATTCCACTGCCAAAAGCAAGTCACAGGGCCAAAACTGATATTACTTGAGCAAGAAAGTATAATCCCCTTATCAGCAAAGGCAAGTAACAATCTCATGATATACCATGTATAATAAATTATATACTGAATCATCTTTGCATTTCTGAGAATAAACTCCACCTGACTATAATGTATTATTTATACTTTCATTAGGCTGCTGACATTTTATTTAGGATTTTTTTTCATAGAGAACAGGGGAAGTTTAAAATACACATATAAAACAAACCAATACAAGCTATCAAATCAATTTGAGAAAAAGGCAAAACATATTTACTATGACATGTTAAGTTCTTTTTTCTTCTTTCTTGGTATTAGGAGAAATGCTACCTATGTTCCCCTTTTCTAGTAAGTGTCTACAATCTAAGTAATGCATTCTTCTTTAAAAACCAGATTGGACAGCTAAAATTCTAATCTCTAAATATGAAGTTAGAAGAACTTTAACAAGCAGAGGTCACAAACTTATAGGTCAGAGGGTTGAATCTTGGCCCAGAGACATGTTTTGTTTGGCTCACGCTATATTTTTCTTATTACTTTGAAAATTTTATTATGAAACATTCACAAAAAGTTGCAATAGCAAGAGGTTTTGTGTACCCTTCTCCCACTTTCTGCCAATGCTTACATCTTACATAACTACAATATGCTATTAAAATCAAGAAACTGACACTGGTACAATGTGCATATAATAAGTCCTCACTGCCACTTTAAGCAAAATGACATATAATGAAAACCAATTTTACCATAAGCTGATTGATATAAATGAAAGTTAAGCTCTTAACAGCATATTTCTGGTCATAAAAACACCACTAATCTTCTAAATAAAGACCCAAAACACTTCTAATATTAAACATTAAAATAAATGTGAGCTAAACATACATTTACCAAGATAAATAAAAAAATGTAAAATAATCATTTTCCAAATGCTTATTCCAGTTCAGGGTCGCAGGTGGCTGAAGCCTGTCCTGGCAGCTCAAGGTGGAAACCCGCCTGAACAGAACATGCACACACATATCTCACACTCACTCAGACTGGAACAATGTAAACACACCAGTTCACCCAACTCCAATTCGCCCAACTTGCACATCTTTGGGTTGTGGGAGTTAACAGGCATCCTAGGGGAAAACCCATGCAGACATGGACAGGTCATGCAAACAATGTCCTGGCTGGCAACTGTTGCTCTTTTTTTCTCATCTATGTTAGAACAAAACAACAGAACGAAATTACTTTATTCAAGGACCTGCTGTATGCAGTTCTGTGCCACTTATCACACATTTAGATTCCTGTAACCACAATCAAAATAAATATCCCGTTATCACAAAGAGCTCTCTCACACTACTCCTTTATAGTCATACCCATTTCCTATGTCCAATAATCTTACACCTTGGCAACCATTAATTTGATCTCATCTCTGTAATTTGTTAATTCAAGAAGTGTTATATAGTCCTGACTGGTGTGTTTCAGTAGACTAAGTGCCAGCCTACGAACCAGAGTTGCCAGTTCAATTCCCAATCGCGGCACATGCCTGGGTTGCAGGCCAGGTCCCCAGTAGAGGGTGTGCTAGAGGCAACCACACATTAATGTCTCTCTCCCTCTCTTTCTCCTTCCCTTCCCTTGTCTCTAAATATAAATAAATAAATTTCTTTTAAGAAAAAAGAATGTTATATAAATGGAACCATACAGTATGTGATCTTTAGAGACTGGCTCTTTTCACTCAGCATAATGCCCTTGAAATCCGTCCAAGTTGTCTATCAATAGATTTTTCTTTTGTATTGCTGATTAATAGTCCATGATATAAATGTGCCAGTTTGTTTAATTATTAACCTACTGTAAGACATTTTATTTTTTTCAAGTCTTTCCTATTACAAATAAAGTCACTATGATCAATCATGCACAGGTTTTTATAAGAAAACAAGTCTTTATTTCTCTGGGATAAAAAGCCAGGCATACAATTGCTGAGTCACATGGTATGTGTATGTTTAGTTTTTTAAGAAACTGCTCGACAATTTTCCACAGAGGCTGTACCATTTTCACATTCCCCAAACCATTATGAGATCCCGTTTCTCCACATCCTCACCAGCACTGAGTTATGACTATTTTTTATTTTAGCTGTTCTAACAGGTGTGTAGTGATGATGTCTCATCAAGATCTTAAGTTTGCATTTCCCTTTTGTCTAGTGATATATAACATCTTTTTGTGTGTTTACCTGCCATCTATATATCCTCTAATCCTACTTTAAACCTCTAGAGGAGATAAATGCACAACACTATCTGCAAAGAAGTGTCAGCATTTATAAAGCAAGTGGAATATCAGAAGTTGCATAAGCCCCTCCTCTTCCCAGATAGTTCAGTCCAGAAGTAATTAGGTGGTCTGAACAAGGTCAGCATCAGTGCAGAGATGCTGAGACTAGAGATAAATTTCATACAAAGTAATCAGTCAAGTAAATACTATACTAATTATAATCAAAACCTAATTTCTGTAGAAGAGAACTACAAATATGGAAAAGAAAAACTGCAATAAGTCCTGTGGTATTGAATTAAAATCGGAGTTATGTGAAGTCATGGTATTCTATATGAGAGTAAGAGCAAGAGTGAGAGAGAGAAAGAGAGAGAGAGAGAGAGGGAGAGGGAAACAGAGTCCCTAAACCTAGCCACAGATCTCACTGGAAAACTGGCAAAGTCCAGGACTGGAAAAGGGAAATATAAGATGAACATTTTGGGATAGAAAGGTCAGGAAATGCTCAAAGAATGATGTATGCATCTTAAATAAACAATAGCCATCCTGAAGAGGCGCCCGCTGGACAAACCTGGGGAAATTTGCGCATTGAAATAAATGAATAGTTAACAGATTATGACCCACTGAATAAAACAGGATTCAGCCCTGGCTGGTGTAGTTCAGTGGACTGAGTGTGGGCCTTCAAACCAAAGGGTTGCCAGTTCAATTCCCAGTCAGGGCACATGCCTCAGTTGTGGGCCAGGTCCCCAGTTGGGAGAGCGTGAGAGGCAACCACACATTCACGTTTCTCTTCTTCTCTTTCTCCTTCCCTTCCCCTCTCTCTAAAAGTAAATAAATAAAATTTAAAAAAATACTGCTTCCTCTTAAAAAAAAAAGGAGTAGAGATTAAAGCAAGAAAAGCACTATAAGTGTATCAAATAAAAGGGGAAATAATCATTTTAGGATCTGGTAATTCAATGATTGCTGGTATTGGTGAAGAGCAAATAATACAACTGAGCAATGATTGTATGTTTATTTCTTTCCACAATTACTTAAATATTTTAAGTACCTGAAACCTAACATTGGCATAGTTCTACCTCTTTTCCTCCTCAACTCCCCCGCAAAACAACACACAATGAATTAATTGTCTGCCCCTAAAATAATTTATTTTTTCATCTGACTGGAAGACTTTAATCCCTTACTCTAGAGGTGAGAGTTGAATGATATTAAACTCAACAGTCAACCAAGCCTTTATCAAACTAAGTGCAGACCAGAACTGAATTCAGTAAACATTCTGTGTGCCTACCATAGGCTGGGCAACAGAGGTAAATAAATATACTGTGTCTTTCCACTGTTTATATCACTCTATATCAATTAGTATTCTTAAAATTCACCATTTTTAATGAGCTATAGTGTATGCCAGCTGTAAAAAAAAGGTATTTGTGTATCTAAACATATCCAAACAACATATCCAAACATATAAAAAGTACAGTAAAAGTATAGCACAAAAGATAAAAATGGCTACACCTGTAGCACATGAATGGGGCTTGCAGGACTAGAAGTTGCTCTGGGTGAGTCAGTGAGGCAGGGGTAAGTGCATGTGAAGGTCTAAGATATTACTGTACAGTACTGTAGACTTTATAAACATTATACACTTATGCTACACCAAAATAAGCTGTTTTATTTAAAACAGCTTAACACTGAACTACTACATCACTAGAAGATAGGAATTGTTCAGTTCCATTATAATCTTATGGAACTACTATCATATATGTGGTACACTACTGACTGACACATTGTTGTGTGATGTATTACTTTATTCAACACTTTTGGTATTCACTTTGGATGATTATCACCACTAATTCACCTTCTAATCTTACCTACTCCTTTCTTTAAATAATCCTCAAGTTAAATCCTAGTAGTATACAACACTCAGTTTTTTGAAAAGCCTCCAACTTCTTACTGTACTGCATACACTGTTCTCTCATCTGAAATGCACACTCAAAGAACATCTATTAATCCAGAATCACAGATCTGGAAGAAATCTCAGGGAAGAATATCCTAATCTATTCACCTTAATTTGCAAGTTAAAAACTTCTGTCACCCGTAAAAGTTTGCCATTCTTTCCACTACGGAGTGCTTTTCAAAGTCTAATATGACCACAAACCAACCCACTGGTTATTAAAAACAGATTTCCAAGCCTCATCCATAAAGATCATGCTCTAATAATTTGGGTTAGGGTTAGACTTTTTTTTTTTTAAAACAAGCAAATCATGTTATTCTGAAGCAAGGAGCCAGTGCTTCAGACCTTAATAAGAAAACCACAGGAAAGAAAGAACACATTAAGAATATGTAGCCTTTAAACAAATTTAAAAAGAGTATGTACCCTTGTAGCACTTAGCATGTCATTTGAAATTTTCCATTTCTGCCTCCATATTGCAACCTCCAAAAAAACCAGCTACTTACTGCTACTTGTGCAGAATCCATAAATCTCAGTCCAAAATAGTCGCTTTCAATAAGATCCAAGTGATACGTAATCTGATCAAACAGCTCTTGACCTTTGGCTTTTCTCTGAAATGGCAAGAAAATAAATGAATCAGTACGTTGCTTGCAAGATGAGCAAGCCTGAATTGAAGATGATTTTAATTATATAAGATCTCTTTACGGTGGCAGGAAGGAGATTGTTAAAGGGGAGAGGGGTATAGGATAGAGGGCAACAAAGGGGGAAAAACTGGATAACTGTAATAGCATAATCAATAAAAAGTATTTTAAAAAAGATGTCTTAAAAAAAAAGCATTACTTGTAATACCAAAAGTATTACCATGTAGCAATACTTTTCCAATACACCATTTAAGGCCAAAAGAGAATCTGTGATCTCTATGTACTTTCCTGAAAAATATTACTCCCTATCAACCAAAAAATATTACTTTGTACCTAACACTATGGAAGGAAAAATTCTTGTTTTGTCTTGCCAAGTTTTAGAGCCCACACTTTATAAAGGAGGTTTATAACATAACTGGAGACAGAAAACACAAGAAAATATAGAACATTTAAGTAAAAATCATGTGGAATGACCTATATTTGCCAATAAATTTTAGAAAATAGAGAGTCAGAGACTAGAATTATCAGTGAAGACTTAAAGATCAATTTAAAACTAAAGAGTAACAAATAAGGTGGGAGGGAATATGGGGAAATGATAAAACTACTGTAATCAATGCAAAAAAACCAAAAAACAAAAAACCCAAAAAACACAAAAACCCCACTGAATTGGAGAGGGACTATAGGAAAGAAACCTGTATAGAAAAAGTAGTCAAAGTGTGGGCCCTAAGCATTTTCCAGATTGTTTCAAAAGATCCACAAAGTCCTAGGATTCTTCTCATGTACCTCAATCACAACAAATATGGCAACAGAGTGAATGCAGAAGCAGAAAAGAGACTGTTTTCTTAAATCAGACATTTAAAGAGATTTGTGAAAGTGCATAAATGTTCCCCTTCTCACTAAATTCTTTGTTGGTTAGGCAATAGTTATTTTTCATTAAAATGTTACTTATGTTAACATACAAGGGGTATATCATTGCTATTTTTAAATTAATCAACAATTTTTTTTTATAGAGAGAAGGGAGGGAGGAGGAGAGAGAGAGAGAGAGAGAGAGAGAGAGAGAGAGAGAGAGAGAGAGAGAGAGGGAGAGAGAGGGAGAGAGAGGGAGAGAGAGGGAGAGAGAGAGGGAGAGAGAGGGAGAGAGAGAGGGAGAGAGAGGGAGAGAGAGAGAGAGGGAGAGAGAGGGAGAGAGAGGGAGAGAGAGGGAGAGAGAGAGAGAGAGGGAGAGAGAGGGAGAGAGAGGGAGAGAGAGGGAGAGAGAGGGAGAGAGAGAGAGAGAGGGAGAGAGAGGAGAGAGAGGGAGAGAGAGGGAGAGAGAGGGAGAGAGAGGGAGAGAGAGGGAGAGAGAGAGAGAGAGAGAGGGAGAGAGAGAGAGAGAGAGAGAGAGAGAGAGAGAGAGAGAGAGAGAGAGAGACATCAATGTGCGGTTGCTGGGGGTTATGGCCTGCAACCCAGGAATGTACCCTGGCTGGGAATCGAACCTGTGACACTTTGGTTCCCAGCCCGCACTCAATCCACTGAGCTACACCAGCCAGGGCTTAATCAACAAATTTTTTTAATTTTTCAGTTTTAATTTCTAATATGGCAACTATCAGTAGATATAACCCTCATAAGCAAATGCTTTGTTAGGATCCTCAATTTTCAAGTACTTTCATATACAACCAACACATGCTCCTCCCCCACCATATAATTTTAAATTATGATTTAAGGTATTTCTTACAAATAAACACATAGTTGGATTTTTTTAAATTGAATCATCAATCTCTGCTTTTTAACTGACTTTATTATTTCAATTTGTCCATTGCTTTTTCTGTACTTCTTTTTACATTATTTTTTAAAAGCTTTTATTTATCTTTTAGAGAGAGGGAAAAGGAGAGAAACATCCATGTACGAGAGAGAGATATATGGGTTGGTTGTCTCTCAATTGCCCCCAACTGGAGAACGTGGCCCTCAACTCAGGCATGTGACCTCACTAAGAATCCAACTGGTAACCTTTTGGTTTCCAGGCCAGCACTCAATCCACTGAGCCATGCCAGCCAGGGCTATTTCTTTTTGATAAATAAAAATGTTATATTTTTATTAAGACAAGAACTTTAGAGGACTTCCGGCCAAGATTGAGGCATAGGTAGACACACTGTGCCTCCTCGTACAACCAAGATAGAGACAACAAAAATTTAGAAACAGAATAACAACCAGAAAACTGATCTGAATGGAGGTCGGACAGCTAAGTAGTTAAACTAGACCCGTTCATCCAGACCGGTAGGAGGGCCGGAATTGGGCAGCTGGGCGCGGGTCTTGGTATGGAGAGCAGAGAGTGTTTGGACCAGGCACATAAGGCATCCGGGGCACGCAAGACCATAGCAGGTGTACCCTGAGCAAGAAAGTGGCAGCTGGCAGACCCAGCGAGGTGGTGATTGTGAAGCAAGGCACTGCGAGCAACCCAGGATCCCAGCACTGGGAAATAGAGCCTTGGGACACTGACTGAAAACACCTGTGGGAGTTGAGGCAGCAGTGGGAGAAACTCCCAGCCTCACAGGAGAGGTTGTTGGAAAGTCCCACGCGGTGCACAAGCCCATCCACACAGGCATTGGCACCAGAGGGGCCCGGTTTGCTTGGGGGAAGCAGCGGAAGGGACTGAGGTCCCACAGAGAGCAGAGCAAGTGCCATTGTTCCCTCTCAGACCCTGCCCCGACATACAACATCACAACCCAGGGACTGGGTTGCCCTGCCCTGGTGAACACCTAAGGCTCCACCCCTCAATACATTAACAGGTGTGACCAGACCAAAAGGGGGTTGGGGGGGGGGGAAGATGTCTCAAACAGAATTAAAAGCAGCCAGTTTTTTTAAGCGGCCGAGAGATAGCCAACCTATCAGATGCACAGTTTAAAGCACTGGTGATCAGGATGCTCACAGAACTGGTTCATTTTGGTGGCAAATTTGATGAACAAACGCAGCCTACAATAAGTGAAATGAAGAAAAATGCACAGGGAACCAATAGTGATGGAATGAAAGCTGGGTCTCACATCAATGGAGTGGACCACAAGGAAAAAAGAAATAACCACACAGAAAAGAATGAAGAAACAAGAATTCAAAAAAATGAGGAGAGGCTTAGGAATCTCCAGGGCATCTTTAAATGATCCAACATCCAAATTATATATATAATTTGATATATATATATAATATATATATTATAGGGGTGCCAGAAGGAGAAGAGGAAGAGCAACCAGTAGAAAACTTATTTGAACAAATAATAAAGGAGAACTTCCCCATTCTGACAAAGGAAATAGACTTCCAGGAAGTCCAGGAAGCTCAGAGAGTCCCAAAGAAGTTGGACCCAAAAAGGAACACACAAAGGCACATCATAATTACTTTAGCCAAGGTAAAAATGAAGAAGAGAATCCTAGAAGCAGTAAGAGACAAGGAGACAGTAACCTACTAAGGAGTTCCCATCAGACTGTCAGCGGATTTCTCAAGTGAGGCCTTACAGGCAAGAAGGGGCTGGAAAGAAGTATTCCAAGTCATGAAAGGCAAGGACCTACATCCAAGATTGCTCTATCCAGCAAAGCTTTCATTTAGCATGGAAGGGCAGATAAAGTACTTCTCAGATAAGGTCAAGTTAAAGGAGTTCATCATCACCAAGCCCTTATTTTATGAAATGTTAAAGGGACTTATCTAAGAAACAGAAGATAAAAAAAAACACGTATAGTAAAATCACAGCAAACTCACAATTATTAACAACCATACCTAAAACAAAAACAAAAACTAAGCAAACAACTAGAACAGGAACAGAACCACAGAAATGGAGAACACATAGAGGGTTATCAACAGGGGAGTGGGAGGAGGAGAAAGGGAGAAAAGGTACAAAGAATGAGTAGCATAGATGGTAGGTAGAAAATAGGGGGAGGGCAAAATGGTATGGGAAAAGTAGAAGCCAAAGAACTTATGACACATGGACATGAACTAAAGGGGGGCGGGGAATGTGGGAGGGAGAGGGTGTGCAGGGTGGAGGGGAATGAAGGGGAAAAAAATGGGACAACTGGAATAGCATAATCAATAAAATATATTTTAAAAAACAAAAAATAAAATACCTAAAATAAAAAGACAAGAACTTTACCATGCCCTCATGTCCCTGACCTCCTCTCCACCCAATCCTCCTCATGTTTTATGAATATACTTCCTGTTTCTTTTTATTTGGTCATGGCTAATTTTTAAAGACAACAATCTTTGGTACTTGATTATTCTTTACATGTCTTACATGTGTAAATTGCACATCTAGTAGCATCTGCCAGATTGTTTGTCTGTTCATCTGAGTTCTTCCTCAGCAATGTTCCCCATGTTGGACTCTGCATGGCTGATCTTTAATAGTCTTATGTTTGACAATAGGTTAATCATGCCTATCTGAACAACAGCCGGCTCGATATAAAATTCAAGGCTCAAAGTTATTTTCTTTCAATAACCTCTTCAATATGCAAAATATATTCCATCATCTTCTTAAAGTCTATACTGCTGTTGAAAAGTGTGATGTCAATCTGAATCTTGTTCTTTAAAAATATTTATTCTCTTAGGTAAGCTTTAGACTTTTCTATATCTCTGATAGTCTTAAATTTCACTATAATGTGTCCAGATATGGGTTTTTCCTTAACTCTATTTCGTATTCTATTGGTCTTTTTAATCTGAGATCTTCCTTTTTAATTCTGGAAAATCGATCTATTATTTCCTCAAATATTTTTCTCCTACTTTTGTCATTTTTAAGTTTCCTACCTAAGTGCTGATACTTCAAGATTTTTCTATTTCTATTTATTTGTTTTTTAAAGATTTTATTTCTTTATTTTTAGAGAGAGGGGAAAGGAGGGAGAAAGAGGGAGAGAAACATCAATGTGAGAGAGATACATCAAATGGTTGCCTCTCACATACCTCTAACTGGGGACCTGGCCAGCAACCCAGGTATGTCCCCTGTCTGGGAATTGAAGCAG